ATTGCGTTCAGCAATGGAAATCCCATTGAGTTCGGGAATGGGAATCCCATTGGCAATTCTCCATTTATTACCATTAATTATTATCAGTGGTAATTTAATGGCATTTTTTTAATGGAAATTGAATGGAAATTTTTCCTACGGGATACAAGACGCTTACAGTTTGAAGCACCTAAATGCGGTGTGTAGCTTATCAGCATAACACTCTACTGTTTTAATTATCAATATTATCTATTTATTATTTAGTATTTGATTAACATTGTTCTTTTTTATTTTAATTGAATAAATCGTTCCAATTCAATGAAATTTTTTTTTATCGAAGGTTGACATGGAGTGGTTTTCTTATTAATTTTAAAAGATCTTACGATTAGCGAATTTTTTTTAACACAAAAATGGACTCAAGAAATTACGTCTGTCTGTCTGGTTGGTTGAAATTAATACAATGTGTATTGAGCAAAGATTTAATGTACGCGATTTACGATAGAATTATTGGTTTAAAAACCGAATTTATGTATTTTTTTACGATTTCATTTGTTTTCTAGCACAAGATATATACAGGCCCTTACATAGAACATACAAAAGCCTCTAAAAATACCTTTCATTTATTACATATTCAGTGAAACGCACGAGCTGTTTTTCTTATTGCTTATTACAGCTTACATTTCATTTTAAAGTTTATATTTATCCGTTTCCACTCATGTCAGCATATACAGTGTGTCTACTTAAGTTGGCTGCATAAGAGAAACTTATTATTAATCTTATTAAGAAAAAAGTTACTCTTTATAAAGGGTCCTGCATGGTCTAAAACACATCATCAGACTTAATAATTTATCAGTCATATACNTTATATTATATTTTAAAAAGGAACATTATTTTTTTGGAAATTAACGTTTAAAAATGCCGACGTAGTAATGATGTAGATGATTTTGTTTTTAAGGAAAAATGAGCACCACCAAAAATTGACCTTTTAATCTTTGCATGAAACAAATACATAATTTTGATGCGGAATTTCTGCCATTAGCAGGGGTTTTCACCTTTTCTAACAGAAGCTGTTTCTTTTTTGTATAAATTTCCTGGCGACTGTAAATAATTCCGAAGTCGAATCGTTCCGATTTCAAGAAATGAACGAAATTCATCAGTTACGACAAAATCGAATAATAGATTTTCCAAAAGAAGTTAGCGAAAAGTAGTTCAACTGTATTTAACACCATATTTCCCCTATCGAGTATTTTTTAGGTTTTGCAATGATGCTCAAAGCTTTGCGACTTACATAAATACGTATAAATGGTGAGCATGCAAATGAAAAAAGCGTCAAATGTTGCCTCAGTCCCACAAGCAATTTTAAAAGTGACTTTTACCTGTAAATAACGTAGTTGAAGTGCGGCTGGGGAATCACCGATTACTTCCGATGCTTCTCTCAGAGCCCTGGATGCCTTCTGCTCACCCTCTGCAGCAATCACTTTAGCCCTGGCCTCACGAGCAGCTTCTGCTTCGGCAGCCATGGCTCGCTGCAATTGTACAGGCAAACGAACGTCTTTTCTGTAACAAATAATTACTAATCAGCAAATAACGTTAACACGTACCTTCTATAGTAGAAAAGTGATAGTCATTGCGAAACAACCCAAAAAGTTATAGTGAAAACTAGCACCTGCACAATTAACTCATGAAATATATTACATTTTGCGTACCCTAGACAAAAATTTTCAGTCTCTCTCCAGTCTCTCAGAGTCTTTCAACGTCTCTGAGAGCGTCTCTCGCAGTCTTTCACAATCTTTCTATGAGAGACTCTAACGATAAAATTGTTAATTCAGAGATTCGAGTCTCTCACAGAGAGACTGAATTAATAAAACTGAAAAATTGAGAGACTCGAGTCTCTCGTAGAAAGACTGGAATCTCTGAAATATGTTGAACTTGTAAAATTTTAACCATGTTTATCGAGACCCCACTTATTAAGAGATTCGAGTCTCTCGTTCAGAGATGCTAAACAGTTTTTTTTGACAGTCTCTCTCAGCGACACCAGACAGATTCGATGGGAGACGGAGACTCGAGTCTCGCTTTCAGAGACTCTGAGAGACTGAACATTTTTATCTCGGGGTAATATACCTACTGTCGCTTCAGTTTAATTTTGCTGGTTTTGGATTGTACAGTCAAAATTGTAAATCTTTTACTTTATTATTTATTCATCATCGTCAGTCCTAAGACTGATTGAACATGCACCTCCACTCTTTCTTGCNAAACTTTTGGTAGGTAATTTAAGAAAGAATTGCTTCGACGCAACTGTTTAAAATGATGAAACTTTCTTGAAATAGTAAAAACGATTAAAAATTATTGAAATTTGAACAAATGTGTCTTTTATTCCTTTCTTCATTTTTTCATTATTTAAGTCACTGTTTCTTAATATATTGCAGCGCGCCATAACTTAAATCTAAGAATTATTACTTAGTAGTCTTAGTCCGTAATTTTTTACATTTTCACATCTTTGGCTTTCATAAAGTACGATAAGATGTCGATTGGCAATGGAAAAACGATCGTTGAATTCTTCTCAGTCGATATGGTATTTAATGTCTAATAAAAATATTATTTTATGAAATATATTTTGCTACAAACCAACAGAATTCGTCCATTACTGAACGCTTAATTATTTATTAGTTACTATTATACATATGTACATGCCGTATCTAATGTAATTTTTTATTTACTATTACTGACCTATCACCGTAGATACCACCATCCCGCATGTTAGAAATGAACAGTCTACATTTTATTGAATCGTTTTAAAAAGAAATGGTAGATAAATTTTAAAATTTATTTCTTTGATTCTAATTAATTTCTTTGCTGCAATTAAATGACCATTAATTATTTATTTGATAAAACTTGTCCACTATTTCTTTTCAACGTTATTAATAATGTTGTTAATTTTTAATTACGGTCAATTGTCAATCTTTAAATATACGTTTCGCATATATATGCTGTATTTGGATAAAAAAAGTTGATGTCCACTTTCGATAAAATTGATGATAATAGAATTTTGAATTTTATGAAAATCGTTCAAGTTTTCCATGATCGTTAAAATTTAAACTGTTTTCATGGAAAAACTTCAGCAAGTCGCGTATATATATAGTGTATTTGTGAGATTCTCTGTACGGCAATAAGGTTTTTATATTTTTTTCATGACGGTTGTCGAAATTTGGAGTGGTTTCTTTGAAAAACACTAGAAAACCGTGAAAAAATTCTTACATATACGGATACAAGATGATATTAAAAGTTTTATAAAAAACTATTTTCAGAGAGCTAACATTGAAAGCCATTTTAGCGATAAGATAATAGCAAAAATGGAAATATACTGACAAAATTAATAAAAATGGTATTTTACATTTTGTAATAAAAAGTTGAAATTATACAAAATCGTTTTCGTGCAAGGAAAAATGATTTAATTGTATTTTTTAAATTATTATTGTTTTATA